TCAAAATATTAAATATATTCAAATAAAATATTTAAAACTGAATGTATTTTATATTTTATTAAATAACTATACAATATAGAATATTAGTATTACTATTAACGAAAAATATTTTGTAAATATTACTTATCAGCGATGCCTCTAAATGTTGACTCATTAAAGGAAGGGGAGAGAAAAAAAAAACCCTAGGAGAAACTTCACAATCCTCCAATTTTAACATGGACTTTTTCTTGGAATGATTGGAATTTGAATTTTAAAATCCTAGTCGTAATCATAATCCTAAACAACTAATAACACCATAAAATTAAAATCTATATCCTAATTCTAAATCAATAATACCTTAAAGTTAAATCCTAGAAAAAGTCCTAGTCCAAATAAAAAATGCTCAACCAATAACCCCAAGTAAGAGCATGTTCACTAGTTCTCAAGGGTATACAAGTCCAAATTCAATTTGAAATCATCCAAACAAATGCATCTTAATATTATATGAAATCTACACCTATTAATGACAACTGTTTGATCCTTCAGTATTCTCGCAGATAGTCGACGTCTTTATTTGGATAGATGTAATAGAAGCTTTCCGATACCCTTGATCCTTGAATCATCAGAATGATTTGTGCTGTCCTGTCAAAGTAGGAGGGTACACTTCAATTATGAAATTTACACTACGTTAGAAGGAAGAGACTGCTATTAAATCATTATTATTATTATTATTATTTAGTTTCGTATATTTTTGACTTTAACATCGCAGACGAAAAACACGGAGGAGTTTGTTGCTCAGATCAAGAAGACCAAGACGGCAGCGGGGGTGAAGGCGAGCACAATGACAATATTGACCCTCGTGCTGAAGACAAAGAGCTGAAGCACCATCTTTTGAAGAAGTACAGCGGATATCTGAGTAGTCTGAGGCACGAATTATCGAAGAAGAAGAAGAAAGGCAAGCTGCCGAAAGAAGCCAGGCAAAAGCTTCTCAACTGGTGGGAGCTTCACTATAAATGGCCATATCCATCGGTATGCCGCTTCTAGCTAATGCTTGAGTATTCTTGTTAGGGTGAAGATTACTTTTAGCTTTCATACACGAGTACTCTTCTTAGTTGTTAGAGTGAAGATTACTTTTAGCTTTCATCATAGCTGCGTTTGTATACACACACGCACACCGTTGGTTTTTCTAGTAGGCTTATGACTCAATTCAAGATCTAGCACTCATCATATCTCTCATAAATCATACTTGTTTCTAATTTACACTCAGAGACAAATTACAATCACCGACTTGGCAAATCGATGATTAATAGTAAGGAGTACTCTCTCTACTACCTTTTTGGCAGCTGAGAGAAGTGAATCCATTTAAAATAGATTACATTTAGATGTTACTTGGAACAGCTTAGTCTCTTAATAAAGCTTTCAATCTTTAACCATCAACTTTGGGTTGTTGAAAGATTGCCATAAATGTTTTTATTAGAGAAGAGTACAAATACATTTTTCACTAAGGGATTATTTTTTTGCACGAAAGTAATTATAAAGTAGCTGAAATAAAAGAAGTAGAGAGTACTTCTACTACTTCCAAGCAAAAAAATATATTTTTTTGTTTCTCTGAAAACCCCACTTCCACTACTTACTTAAGCACTGATGTGATTCATATGTGTCATTCTTACTTTCTAAATATTTTTTCATCCCTCAAGGCTTGAAAGTAAGTGAAAAAATGTGTGTTAATTAGGAAATAAATAATTTTTTTATAATATTTATTTTATTAGTTACTTCCTAACAACTTTTCGTTGCTATCCAAACAAAAAAAGAGAATGAAGAATAAGAAAAACTATTTTCACTATTTCAAAAAAATATGTGTAAAAAAATGTATTACTTCAACTGCCCCCTACTTCATAAATTTAGAAGTTACTTTTTTGATCTATTTCCTACATCCAGTACTTCTGTCAAACCAGACTTAGCATTTCTAAAGAAGTTAAGATAAGTTGTCATGTGTTTCGTATGTGGCATGTAAGGACAATTTTTTGTTTATGTACCGTTATGATTTTGTTCCAATGAGGTAAACGAACCATATGAATTCTTGGATTGCTACATACGATAAGGATGGTTTTAGACCATTAGTACCAGATGATTGCGTCATTAGCGACAATTTTTCAATAATCCTGAAGTTTTATTGCTGTTCCCTCAAGTAAAAGATAAGATAGCTTTGCACGGAACCCTCCAAAATTCTTGTAGTTTTGTGAAGTTCACCATACAATTATAGTCCTGAGAGTTTTACTTAGTACTGTGAATGAAACTTAACATGATTCTACATTGAGAAACTAGTTTGGGTTAACGTTTTTTTTTTCTTTTGGCGAGCAGGAGAGTGAGAAAGTATCACTGGCAGAATCGACGGGGCTCGATCAGAAGCAGATAAATAACTGGTTCATAAACCAGAGAAAGAGGCACTGGAAGCCATCAGAAGACATGCAGTTCGTAGTGATGGATGCTTTTCAGCAGCAAAATACTGCAGCATTGTACATGGGGGGGCAGTATGTAGGCGATGGAAGCTACCGTTTAGGCCCATGATCCTGTAGACTACAAGTATTTTTGAGCCACTACTATCGGTGCTAGCTTAAATTTTTAAGGGAAATACTATACTCAGCAGTTAGCTAGCTACTGTGTTGTGCATTAATTTAATGACAATCCGCGGTCTGATTGTTTTCACGTGCTAGTTCGAGTTCCTATTTACCCTTTTGTTCATATTCTTCAGGTTTTACAGTTTTTGAGATTAAAAGGTTGACGACGTCTGATATGATCCGTGTTTCGCATTCAGCTTTGTAAATTAGATTTTTTTTTTATTTTTTAGAAGATAGAAAGTACGATTCTTAATGTTTTTCTTGAATCGTTCTTCATACCTTAATTTTTTTTTTCCTTCGCCCTGGTTATCATACCTAAAATTGTTGAAACAGTGCACTTAGAAACCGGGTTTACAGGTTTTCTCAACTTTACCGTGATGTTAGTGGAACCAGCACCGATCTTTTCATGAAGGGCAACAACCTCTGAGAGCACAATTATGTGATGAATGCATATGATTGAAATGGTGCTCACTAATGATAACCCAACTTGAGGCATCTCCAATCATGAAATTGATAAAAAAAAGAATGCTAGAGCTCAATCACTTTGGCTATGACATTTATTTACGTATAATGTGTGGATAGGTAATTAGATACCGAGTTGAAAGCATCCTTGCAAATTGTCCAACCCTAGTATGACTATCTCACACTTCCAATCATATACATATAGTACAAGTTTAATGGCAAAGAAAATGCCTTGATCAAAACAAATGATCGATATATATGTACAAGGGACTCTACACACATCAATCAAACAAATAAATAAGAAATCTCAACTATAATGATGAGGCCTTTTTACTGCGCGCTGTTGCAAGCAATCTTACTGATGATACGACTTGCTCTAACCTCGGGGCAGGGATACAACTGAGGGTAGGGTGGTGTAATTCATCTTTCAATTCTTTGGAACAACCTTTGGCATCAACTTCTTGGGAAACTGAAGAACCGTTTTCAGCTGAGCTTACAGCGACAGGTGAGAATTGGCAGTAGGCTGATTGCAGTTGCTGGTGAATTCCCTCCATCCTCCCATATTTCTCGTCTGCTTTGTCCATCTCAATAAGATCCTATAGGTACCCCCATGGAACCGTGCATCAAAACCAAAAATAAAATAATCAGCATAAAAAGAAGAAGGTGGGTGAAAAAATTACACGCTTGCTGTTACAACTCAATAGAGAATTGGCAGATTCATAAAACTCCTCTGAATGAGGGCAGGGTTGCACAAACCCCCCTAAACTTTACAGATCACCAAAATCTACCCTGAACTTCAAAATTATAATGAATACTCCTAAACTATTGGAAATTCCCATAGCAGCGTTTACAGGCAAAGTAAAAAGTCTAAACTACACATTTTTGCTGTTTACTTTGCCCTTGAGACAAAATGTAGAAGTTAAATAATTAATATAGGGCTCAATTGTCCAACAGTTACACATTTGACAACTTAAAGACATTAGTCAGGTGTCACGATACTTAAGTGAGACAAGTTGACAGAGGCTTCTATGATTTATAAAGTTCAGGTGGGGGGGGTCAAATGTCCGCACATGGCAACTCAAAGTCGTCAGGCAGGATACTTTAGATGAGACAAGTTCAGAGAGGTTTTCAATAGAAAAGTAGTTTTTATCAGTTCAAACTAGAAATAATGGCACTATTTATCCAGTGTATGTATCCGTCAAGTGAAGTCCGCCACTGAAATTAGTGGCGTTCAATCAGCTTAAATAGTTTAGTGAAGTGGATCCAGTGAATATGCTAGAATGCGTATGCTTAGACGTTGAAACATCAAAAAAATGAATTGCTACTAGCATCGCTAACTCAGGCTAATTGTCAAAATAAACTTTATTATCTTAAACTTTTGATTTAGATCAGGTCGTAACTTATATCATGTCTCACAAGTTGACTCCAGAAATGGCCTCATTTGCAATAATACAATCAAGAAAACTTACTGCATACTGCTAAAAAGGAAAATATAATCTTACACTTACCTGTGCAGAGAAACTATCAAAAATAGGACGAAACCGCTTCCTGCAGTACTCATTGAAGAGGAGTGTAAATAGCAGAAGAGGGATGACAAATCCAGATGCAACTGGTGATTTCTTTAGCCCAAAAACACCCAGCGCTATTATCTGTGCCAACAACAAAGAGAAGATTGTGGTGTTGTGTGCAATAGGCCACATTTGGCCCCCCGTCTCGTACTTTGGGATGTACACATTAAGGATCTAGGAAAAAAAGAAGAGATTAAGTAAAAGCCAAGCACTACACATTTCCAGCTACATCATAGATATTTAGATTATTAGATTTTATAGAGAGACTTTTCACATTTCAGAGAAATACTACGTGTGCATCAGCTTGTGGAATTCATCAAACATAACACGAATGGCCACGGCGAAAAAAGATAATTGATGTTAAAACTTAAGAAGTGGTCTAAGGTTTGGAGAAATAGAGCATCAAAGTGAATGTATACAGTGTTCTTCTTAGAATATTGTTTTTGGGATGATATTAGAATGGGATTTGCAGATAGTGGGTTTCTACTTGGAAAAGATACTAATCTATAGAAAGTCAGGTGGGAAGTGGCAAGAAACCAGAGAGATTCAAGGCAAAGGACAAATTTCAAGATGAATATTAAAAGGATGTATAAGTGAACTTGGCCCTCATCAATAACGTGATAACTTGATGCAATTTATTCAACAAAATAAATTTTGCCTTGAAGTTGAACTGATCCGTATTGAACCAACTCCCAAGTTAAGTAATACTGATACATTAAAAGAAAGGGATGCATATGATATGGACATGGGATACAAATTAATGAACAACGACATAATTCAGTAAAATATATATAAATAAACAACATAATTTATATATATAGAAAAATGGATATGGGTGGCAGCCAATTTTACTGGGTGGCAGCCAATTTTACTAAGTACAAGAGAAACTAGATATGAGCTCCATAGAGAAAGGAGCGGTAAGATCCACCCGCTTCATGTGCCTCACAGGGTGGGCCTCACCGTTAGTTCTGTCTCTTGGTAGGTTATTAACAATATGACTTAATCAACCTTCATGCTACAGGAAAGTTAGCAAATGTAACCCTATAACTCTGGTGGCATCTACCACACAATTACACTTTTACTACTTTTCGCAACTAGTAAACCCCCAAGGTAACATTCAGTATGTAAGCTGACATTTCATGCAATTTCAGTATTCCTAATTCGCTAGTACATAATAAAAGACACATTCAACATAATCATAACTCGAAATATCATTAAGAAAGCAACCACACCGATTGCATAACTGTAAAGAAATAAACATTATTGTCTCCTTTTAGAACAGAATGGACCAAAGCAACATAAGATACTAAGAGGACAGAATCATCTCCCTCTATCAACCACAAAAAAGTCAAATTTTAACAGAAAAACTAAGCATGTAAGGGTGACTAGTTCTTTACAAGAATTTGCGACCTTTTTCAGTAGCAGGAGGATTTTGTGTAGGTGGGTCGGGTGAGGTTGGGGGGTTGAATAAAGTACAAGAAGTAATTAAGAAGCGGTTCATGTAAACCTATGTCACACATCATGATCATAGAATCATTTGATTAATCTGTCAATCTGAAGTACAGACACAGATGCATGAAGTGCAGTATTTGTATTTAATGTCATGCATCATAGCATTGTGAGACAGAAACAGTTCTTTTTAAAAATCAGTATTCTACATTATTTAATTTAGCGATAATTGTGGACAGATCCCCTATACTATCGCCCAATTGCAGATAGGCGATAGCCCCTTGTAGTTGTATTGTTGCAGATAGACACCCTGACTGAATCTTTTTGGCACTTACCCTTTGGAAATCTATCTGTCAAAAAACAATGTACTCTTTCTGAGAGTAAAAGAGTGAAAAAATTTCACTCGGGGTCTATCTACAACAATAGAACTGAAGGGGGTCTATCCGCAATTAATCTTTAGAATATAAATACAACATAGCATGTAATGTACAGCCAGAGATGATATCGTCTCATCAGATAATGGGAAGTGCTCACCTGGTTACGATACACAACATAGCCGAGCAAGAAGTATACCAGCAAAAAAGGTAATATTAGAGGTGCCAATATTGCGCAGGTGAAGCCAAGTAGCCCAAACAGGAGGACCCTTGGAACTTCAGTGTGATAAGGAAATGATGGAACAGAAGTTGACTCATCCTTCCTGCCCAATATGTATCTCCTTATTAAGTTCCATACCAGGCCAAAGAGTAGAATTATTTCCGATGACAAACTTGCCCATCCTGAGGTCAGAACATAAGTAATGAAAAAGGTAGCCTACATCCATCAAGACATATATGATCAGATATTGCTAATAGGAAAGTAGATACAGACAGATAACTTCTTCCATGTCATGAAACAATATAAACATACATTTTGAAAAGAAAAAAAAAAGATTATTAAACTCAGTAACACATCTATCAAGGATACCAAGGCCTCTCCAATTACTGGACATTGCTCAACATTTGTTGTCGCTAAGATTTAATTAATAAATATAGCAGCATCCTGAATAGCTAGAAAAAAGAAAATTACATTATTTACCAATACCATACGAAAACAATCACCTGCCTGGGTACAGCTTTGGCAAGCTGTGAAGGTATTTCTTTCGGGCTTGATATGGTGTTTATCTGGCTGATGACAGATCCAGACAAAACATTGGCAAAAAACACATTCCAGATAGTAAAATACAAGACCTTGTAACAAGCACTTCTTTTCCTGCCACTGCGAGATATAGATCCTTCCACAGTAGAAAATAGCATCATCACTGGAGGGACAATATAAAGAAATAACACAAAAATGACACTGGGGAGATAGCCCGTTACTATCTGGCTCATAAATCTCCTCCTGTACAAAACCGAAAAAGTCTACTGTCAACAGAAAAATAACACTACGCAAAGATTTTAGCAAAAGCTTGTCCGGGGCAGCATTAGACTGTAGACGCCATGCACAAACAAATGTAAGCTTATATATAAAGAAGACATGAAAGGTACAAATTTAATTGAGTAAATGACCCTTCGAGAGCTGGATGGAGAGAAACAATGTTGATATAGACAACCCAAATAACTGGAATAAACTGCTTTTACCATTGCTATCGTTGTCACCTTTTGCTTATGTCTAAAAAAAGTTATTCAAAATGATATTCCTATTCACTTTTGCGTGGTTTTTGGGGACACCAGTTAAGTAACTAATGAAATATATACTGCAATCGGATGTAATAAGAATTTAGAGATTATATACTTTCGCATAATATCTGATGGGAATGGTTGACCATAATTTGTTTCAAGATGAATATTCAATTATTTGTACTTATAGACACAGGAAACGGCGAGGTTGTAGGGGAAAAGGGATATACTCATTGGACTCGTATCAACAATTCAGTATATTTAATTCTCCTGCAGCCTCTTTTCTTTAGTGATTCCCTTAAATTCAGTGAAATTCAATCCTATTCGAAAGAGTGAAACCTTGAACTGAACTTAAATTGAAGATTAGGTGCTTTCGAACCTGTTAGCTCTTCAGCACACAGCCAGGGCTTCCATTTCTTACCTCGCATCAAATTTGGCATGATCACGACCAACTTACAAGGAAAAGGATAATGCGAGAGAACAACATAAATCTTCTACTTCTGAGAAATTGGCATATCATGACGATCTTGAAGCTGTGCCACTAATCAATTATTTTGACAAACTGGTTGTTGCTCTCATCAAAACTGGTAATGGATGGTCAATTTTATAAGGGGTTAAATTTGTACTATGTAGTGTGATGTTATAAAACCATGATTACAAAATTTGACCATATTAGCTTTTATTCAAATCATGGAATGGATAATACTATGTTCGTCTTTCCTTTTCTTTTTGTTTCTTTTATATATTTTTTATCTTTTCCTCTCTTTCTTCTATCATATTTCTTTATTCCC